TGCTTATAAAAAAAACTGTGACTAAGGATTTTTAATATTTTTCAAATGTTATTATAACAATATAGTATTAGCCTTAATGAAGTTGAAAATCAAAGCTTTATATCGACTACTAATCGTGTACCCAGACACAAAAATTAAAAAAAAATTTTAAAAAACCAAAATCATTGTAAAGATATGTAACCAATATATTCATCGTTCCAATCAGAATCTAAAATATAAAAATGTGCTCTGCTGTACAGTAGGTTACAAGTGGGTCACTGTATAATGGATGGTATTAAATTTGAATTCTATGATATCATATGATTGTATAAGAAAAACGTCTCTGAGCGGAGACGTTGTTTCAGTCTAGGTATAAGACATAAATAATAAAAAATTCACCTATAATAGTTACCTACCTATAAAAAATTCCGAATTAATCATATCACAATATCCATTAGGTACATATAACGCGTTATACATCAACAACAAACCAGGATACTATCATAGATATATAATAGTATACTTTAGAAGTTTCAAGTACCCACTAATATTATTATACAATCACAACAAAATAACTAAAATAGTTATTCTAGGGTTTTTTAATATGTAATTTCATCCAAATTTAAACTTAAAATGTCTATAAAAATAAACTGTGATTACTGATTATGTATTTTTTAGAATTTTTGGTTACAGAATTAACTACATACCTACGTGGAATCTTGTTTTAAATTTTCAATCCTTAGATATAAAAGTTAAACATTTTTAACTACAAAATAATTATTCAATTTTAAATTTGATACATTTTGTCAAAATTCGATCTTTAAATGCTTATAAAAAAAAAATTGTGCCTATGTATTTTTAATATTTTTCAACCGCCATTGTAACAATAGTCAATAGATCAGGATCCTTGTATTAAATTTTTACACTTTTTGGCAAAAAAAATAAGAAAAAAAAATTTAAAAAATTAAAAATTGAAAATGTTCGTAAACAGCTCAAAAAGAGTCAAATGCTAATATAAACATTCAGTGAATTTTTCATGTATCTACAGTTATTCGTTTTTGAATTACAACAAAATAAGGAAATCGCTACATGAGAAATAGATTGAATATCCAATGTTGTAAAAATTTGAATTTCAAACTCTCATAAAAATTTAATTTGACTTTCTTATAGAAATTTTTTTTTTTTGATAAAGGTAGATAATCTTATATGGAATCTTGTATTACATTTTAAAGTCTTAGATTTAAAAAGATATAGTTTTAAGAATTCTTAACTCAAAATAATTTTTCTAATTTTCGTGATTTTTCCATATTTTGTCAATTTTTGAACTTTAAATACTTATAAAAAAAAATGTAACGAAGGATTTTTATTATTTTTCAAATGTCATTGGAAAAATACATCAGGAGCCTTGTATTAAATTTTCATGCTTTTTTAACTAATAAATAAAATTTCATTGATATTTATAGGAAAAAAAAACCAAAAAAAAATGGAAACTGAAAATGTCCGTAAAGAGCTCAAAGTAAGACAAAATATTTTTAAAATGTTATTGTGTATAGAAAATGGTAATATAAACATCCAGTCAAAATGTCATGTACATACGGTCATTTGTTTAAGAGTTGCACCAAAAACCAAAATCGATTCTTTCGAAAGCAGATTTTGTGTAAAAATTCCCGTTTTTCCTTAATTTTTCTTTTGTTTTCACTGCGCTTTTGAAATCTACTGTTAAAATGTTACTTTTGTTCCCCCAAAGTACCAATTAGATTCACTTTCCTATCAGAAAAGATACTGTTGAAGAAAATCCAAGCAGTTTTACTGTCCTAAAAGGTGATAACAGACACAAAATAAAATTAAAATGAACTAATTAAAAAAGTAAAAAATTAAAAAAAAAACACACACCATTGTAAAATCAATACATTCATCGTTCCACTCAAAATCTTAAATGTGAAAAATTATAATATTTATAAGTACATGTTACGAATCTTCCAAAAAATGTCCTTTTTTTACTTTTATTAGAAAACACAATAAAATAAAACATTAAATGTAAAAAACTCCACCCCTTTTCACCAAAGGTAAAAATTGTAATTTATTTACGTCTCCAAATATAATTAATCAGTTTCACTATATTATCAAACTATCATTCATGAAGACTAACTACACGCGAGTGTTGGAAATGAACTTATACATACGATTGGTTAGTAAAGGTAAAATACTAGAAATTAAAATACCTACCTAGTTTTTTCGATCAAACAAAGACTAAAATGACTCAGTACAGCTTATCATCAAGTCATTTTGTATCATATTGATTATTACAATGAATAGGTACCTAGTTGATTTTATAATTTTTTATTTTTTTTACAGATAAAAAGAAAGTATCTATCTGAAACCGAGTATGCTAAATAATTGAACTTAACTTGGTGATTCGAGATAACATTTTAAAAATAGTATTGCATAATGAGTAGGTACATATAATATAGTAAATATACTATCATTGAAATAGACAGTGCTCGAATTGGGGGACGGAGCTCCTCTTCTATTTTTTTATATTTTGAGCGTAGGTACCCCTTCTAATTATTTTCTTTGGACTGGGGGACGGAATGTTTTATTTTTAAAAATAATATTGTATTTTTTATTTCGTTAAGTTATACCCATTTAATAAGATATTAAATTTAAATGTTTGATTTTATTTTATAAAAATGTATAATGAGCTATGAGTAATTATTGAAAAAAAGACGAGTGACGTCATTGAGCCTGTCTCATCGTAATTGCCTATCTTATACGTGTACAAGTTTCTCGTTTCACACAACGATTTAACAACCTAAACATTTAATTACGTTTATATATGTGTGGTTTTATGTGTTTAATACGATACAAGTACATATCAGAATTTCAATATAACGTTTAGTTTTTTAAATATTAAAAATCTTAAAAGAGATATTTTTTAATTTTTATTTTATACTTAAATCACCATAACTAGCTGCTTAACTAAAATATCACTTTTAAGATTTTTAATATTTAAAAAACTCAACGTTACTATTGATAGTTCTATAATTATGATACTTATATCATCTTAAACACATAAAATTACACATTTATCCGTAGATAAATTAAATTTTTTTTTCATTATGACGTATATTAACATTTAAAAAAAATTTTAAGAACAATTTTTTTTGTGTTATGAGTTCCTTTAAATCTTAATTTACCTTGAACTTTTATTTTAAATTACATTAATTGTATTTCGTACATGTTTCAGTTTGATAGTGGATGCAAACAATAAGCATAGTAACTTGGGCGTATTGTTCTTTAAAAGTATTAGGATTTATAAATAATACTGAAGTGACCCACACTTTTGATCAATTATAGGTGTGACTTAAAAATTTTAAATTAATTACTTAGGTATAACTTATGTGTTAATAATGTGTAACAGTGATATTTATTTTAATAAATGAGAATTAAAATAATATTTATTGATTGTTGCAAAATATTATTAGTACTGGTGTATTATATATTTATATGTCTAATATTTTTTATGGTGGTTGAAGGGAAGTGGGTGTGGGGGGGCTCTGCCCCCCACTGGTTAGGTTGGGATTAATCATTGTCAGAAACCCTAATTTTTTTAATTCCCTTTCTTTTATCTTTCCAATTCTGGAAAAAGGTCTTTCCAGTGGAAATAGGTGTTAGGTAGTGTATTACAAGTGTTAAAGTCACCAGCTAAGTTAAATTATTTAGCAGACTATTTTAACATAAATGATATCTATAGTTCAAAGACTTAGCTATACAATTTTATCACAACTTTTATAGCCTTTTATTTGATATTTACCGTGAAACATAACCCCAGAAAATAAAACCACAGAAAACAAAACCAAATATCAGATTTTGCAAAATTTTAAAAAAAGTGGGCATAGAGACAATTGTTAATATTTAAATATTAAGATTTTTTTTTCATATTTATCATTTGGCCTGTACTAATGACATTTTATAGTTTTAAATATGTTTATACCTAAATACATTATTGACATATCAAAACAAATTTGACTATTTTCTTTTAAATAATACCTACATAGACTGTCATTGAAATCTAGTGAATCTAATTAGGTTAGGTATCTGAACTAAGAAAGGCCAACCTTGAACATTTTATAATTTTTTAACAACAAATTAATTTACAAATTTTTGAGATATTAATGAATTTCATCAACATTTGAACTTATAATACCTACTTATAAAATAAATCTTGAATAGGTACTGTATCTTTAATATTTTTAAACTGCTATTATATCATCTTATGAAGAACCTTGTTTTACGTTTTCAATTTTTTTGATCAAACAAAAAATTATTGACGAAAATTTTAATAAAAATTAATAAAAAACAAAAATGTCTCAAGACCATAAATAATTCAAAATAGTTTAAAAAATTATAAATTACTTTATTCTCAATAGTATCATAAAAATATACTTAGTAATATCATAGGCTGGCTGACCGTCTTCGCTCAGAATTGTTTTTCTTATACAATGATATTATATCATTGAATTAAAATTTAAGACAGAATTTACCAGTGACCCACTTGTAACCTACTGTACAGAAGAGCAACACCTACCTTTTTAATATTTATATTTTCATTTTCAAACAATCACAATAATATTTTGTTTTATATTATATATTATGTAATATCCATAAAATAAAATATATTACGTTTCCTAATAATATTTTAACGATAAAGTAAATATTAATAATAATAATTATTATATTATTAGGAGTCATTTTTACAAATTTTACTTATATATACAAGATTTAAAAGATTATAAAATAAAAATAATAATATTTCGAATGATCGATATGTCAAATAATACAAATAGTCAAAAGAACCATTTAAATATGTTGTTTAAAATTGTGATTTAAGCGGGACATTTGTCCAGGGGCTCGCGCTCAAAATTTACATAGGAAAATATTTTATAAGAAAATCTTGTACTAAAACAAAACAACAATATAATATTATAATATTAAATATTTATGCGTCAACGTCGATCGGTATGGCACGTCGAACGGTATGGAAACCCCGGATTCCTAGACAGTTAATCGCATTATTAAATTTAATCAATCATTACCCGATATTGCGAGCTGCTGTCAAATCATTTAGTGAACGATTTAATCAATTTAAAATTTATAGCGACAATTTCAGTTTTCTATACAATATTGGTGATCTCCAAAAAATAACTAATGACGACCTTATGAAGAGTTGCTTAGATTTACAAAATTATCTAAGTGACGGAGAATTATATGATATAGTTGCTTCTGAATTGTATGAAGAGTTACTAGTTTTTCGTCATACAATGAAAGAAGATTCTACGCCAATAGAAGCATCAAGCACTCAGTTTTTAAAAACAATTCCTGGTGCTTTTACAGCTTTTCCTAACATAGTAATTTCACTCCGAATTTTGTTAACCATACCAATCACCTCAGCGTCAGCAGAAAGGAGTTTCTCAAAGCTCAAAATAATCAAAAATTACCTAAGAAACACAATTTCTCAAAAACGATTGACTGAATTGGCTACTATTGCAATTGAAAATGAAACAGCAAATACATTGAATTTTATGGACGTCATAGAGTTGTTTGCGTCCAAAAAATCAAGAAAAAAATTTTAAATATTCTATATTAATTTTGTTTTTTATTGCTTAAATTTCCAATGTTTAAATGAATTATTTTATATTAAATTTAGTACATACAATTACAGAACCTTTGTACATTTGTACATTTGTATACCTTAGTAGCTTAGTATATATTTTGTAAGTTATTTATATGTTTGTAAGTTGACAAGTGTAATACGTCCAAAAAATCAAGAAAAAATTTTTAAATATTCTATATTAATTTTGTTTTCTTACTGCTTAAATTTCTAATGTTTAAATGTATTATTTTATATTAAATTTAATACATAAAATTACAGAACCTTTGTTTATTTGTATACCTTAGTGGCTTAGTATATTTGTAAGTTATTTATATGTTTGTAAGTTGACAAGTGTAATACGTTTAAAAGTAATCATTAAAAAGTTGAAAATTAATATTTACTAATGTATTTTTATTTCAATAAACATCATAGGTGTAACTAGGGTCAACATAATTATTTAATAATAATAATAATAAAAAAAAAAAATAATATTATTATTTAATAATAATTGTTTTATTTGGGACCCACATTTTTTATGATTTTTTGACTTTTACATCTATGTTCTATGCGATATGGATATTGGTTAAATAAGTTTTGCCCAGGGCCTCGCAAAAGGTAGCGCCGGCCCTGATAGTAATAGAACCAGTTAAAAATGTTTAATGTAACTTTTAGCCTAACCTATAGCCTATAGGTACACAGTATTAATTAACTTGACAATCTCTGGTTATTTGTCTGAGTAACTTAGTTTCAATTAATTTAATATCTACCTTTGCAGGATATCTACCTACATTTCTACTGCCTACTAATGTTAGGGCAGTTAGATAGGTATCTTTTCTGCAGTGGTAAACTTATATAAAAATCTAAATTATCAACAAGCAAAAAAAAATCAATTTAATAATTTAGGTGGGCCTCAGTACACAATTTAGGAGGGAGCCTCATCGTACATCGGTATTTACAGACTAAACGACCATTAAATCCGCTACTGGTCCAACAACTCTGTAAGCAAATGTTTTAATTAATGTAATAATATGAACATATTATGGTAAATGATTTAACAAATCCAAAGAGACACTAAAAAAAATAATAACTACTATAAAAATGACTAAAAAAAAAATGTATAATTAATACTTCTTCTTCTTCTTTTAGTCATTTTAAAGACCATTAAGGTCCATTGTCACAGCAACAACATCCCTCCACTTCTCCCTGTCCCTAGACACTTCTTCTCCATTCTCTATCCCTATTATTCTGAGGTCTCCCTTAATTCTATCTGCCCACCGTTGTCCGTTGTCTAATTAATACTTACTTACTTGAATAATAATATGCAATATAAAATAAAAAAAAAATGTTATCACATGTTCAAAAACCATCAAAATAATTTTGATATTTATTCATGCATTTAGCTTTAGCTTAATAGAAAAGTGCTATTTTAACTTGTAAGTGCCTATAGTTAGTACCTACCTAGGAATCCATAAAAACGATTCTAAAATAATATAAATTTTTATAAGTTAGTTAGTTATAAGTGGATATGGTAAATACTTTATACCTAATACCTATATAGAATTTATGGACAATGTACATAAACCTAAAACCTACAGTAACTTCAGTATGTATACGTAAATTTATTGTTTACATAAATAATTATAAGTAATACATTTTAATTTGAGTCATTTTTGTACCATGTTTTCTTTGTAGGTCTACTAAGTACAATAACTACCTATATATACTATACGGCTTATAAATTTTACCTTTATGTACCGTAAGGTATCATGAACATGTCAAGATTCTAATTATCTTAGTTTAGGCTCTATGTTGATCAGTTAGTCAGTCCAGATACATTTGATTATATAATAATAACATAATATATAGATTTTCTTTAAGGTCTAATAACATTTAATTTAAAAACTTACAATTGTTGAGCAATCATGGTTCATATATTAATAGCAATAGAGATTAAAGTGGTGGGTGCCAGGGGAACTCAGTCCCCCAACCTTTGACGGTGGTTAGAAAGAGTCCACCTTAATAACCCGTTTGAAAATGTAGTATAATATGTGATATACATTTTACATGAAATAAATTACAAATTTGAACATTATTCAGGGTTAAATGTGGGACGAGTATGCCTACACAATGCTTACATATTGGACATTATGCATACAATTATTAGATATGGAACACTTAAAACTATATAGAGACATTAGTAAACCCTGTGTAGAAAATATCAAAAAAATAAAATAAATATTAGACTGGTCTCAGATTTTACATCAAACAATTTTCTGAAATTGTACTAGTAAATCTGGTTTAGAAATTTTGCCTCTCTGGCTTAATAAATTGTATAACTATGCTTTCTCTAAAATCTAAACACCAATTTTTTACTTTATGGATGATTAAGAAGAGATTTTTCAACACTTTTTAACAATCTTTTCAATGTGTAATATTTCTTTTTTTTAAAAATCATTAAAAAAAATTAAATAAACAAATAAATGCATTTATTTAATAAATTACAAAATAAACAGTACCGCATTTACACATTCCTGGTAAAATATAAATACAAATTTAGTTGTAAAACTTAATTAACTTTATAATATTTTTATAATATTCTTTTCTTAAAACTAATTTTACCTAATTATTTTCCTGTCCCAAAGCATTTGTCCACTTATGCTTCTCCCTATAACAGCCTTTATACAAAACATATGGATGCCAATTTCTAAAAGTCTAAATGATCTTATTTTAAACTTATAAAAAACATCTTGGATAGTACAATATTGATAAAAAAAAATTAAAAATAAGATTAAATTAAATTAAATAAAGGAGAATTTTTTTACAGTTTGTTAAAATATAAAATATACAGATTATTTAAAGTGCTTCAACATATAGATCATTTTATATTTTTAACGAGTTACCCAATGTGATTTGTTTCCTTACAAGAAGTTCCAATAGTGATGAAAGTGATAATTTTGCCTTTTTTAGTTCTGTAAGAAAGCCTCCGAGCTCATTAAGTTCATGTATTTGACTTTCCAAAATACTATTTATACGATCAAAATCTGAATTTGTAACTACTCTAGGTGTAACATCACGTGTATCACGATTTTGAACGGCAACCACTTTTTTAGCAGCTTTTGCTAATGAAATACGTGACTTACTATTCTGCAAAACAATACCATTCTTTGTGCAATTGTTCATTCTTCCTAAAACAGAAAAATAACTTGTGTTTATTACATTTTATAACTTTGAATTTATTTTCTGTTGCTGACATTAATATAATAGAGTACCGTAGAGTACCTATCAGATTGATCATTATCATTTTCATTTTTGATTATTTTTCATGATAAAATGTTGTTGATATTATGTACCTACTTAGCACCCATAAGTTTCAAATCTTAACTAAAATACACATATAAAAGTTAACATTTTATGAAGTGTTATTTGAAAATGTAGCCAATGACAGATAAAAAAGGTATGCAGGAAGAATGCGGACCTTAACTATAGGTATAGGTACTAGAATAGGGGTTCTCATTCTTTTTATATCAATTATAAACATTTTTAAGTCCAATTTATTTATTATTCTTATTGAGATTTCAGTTAAGAAAACTCGTTAAACTGTACTAACAATTTTTGGTTTAGTATCTACATCCCCAGATTTATATTAAAGCATTAGGAATACAGAATAGTACCATCTGAAGATGTACTTTTGTGTCAGCCAAATAAAACTTTTGTAATGTAAATAATTAATTTCCAAATATTTTTTAATACTATTAATTATTGTAATTACTTTAAACTACAAGTTAAGTTTATTTACACCTAATATTCATCATTTACTATTTAATTTACATCTAGGTAAAATAAGTAAAGACAAAACTATGGTCAACAATAGGTGAAAAACGACTTGAAAGCCGTCTTATTCTTTTAGATTGTAAAAAGGATATAAATATTGATAAAGCTATAAATAAGTTTGGTTGTTCTTTGAACCAACTAAAATCCCATCTCATGTCTAAATTAAATAAATAAATAGTAATTTCATAATTAGTTTATTTATTTACTTATATGTTATAAAAATTCAACGTAATGTAATTCTATTCAATAAAATCGCTCAAAATCTAAAAATATAAGAAATAATGTTTATTCAGTTTAATTTTTAGATCATATTTCTTCAAAAATAAAAGAAAAAAATACCTACTTACATTTAGTAAAAATTCACTAAGTTAGAGCAGGCTAAGTTTTTAATTTCATTAGAATAATTATTATTAAATTCACCAAAAACTAATTTTACAATATTCAGTAAAATTTAACGATTTGCATTAAATACTTCAAATAATTTATAATACCTATAACCAAAAAAGTAATCTTATTAAAATGTTTAATTACTATATGTATATAAAAATGTACCTACCTATAAATTTTATTTTATTTTAAAAATTAATTTGGCGTTTTTACTATAGATTTCTTTTGAAAAAAAAAAAGATACATTTGGTATGAGGATAATATGGTTAACCCGTATAGGGGTGACTATAATTTCTGTAATTTGATGTATACATATATATGTATACATACTTTTACTTCATTAAATATCTATTATTTACTACTAACAAAGAAAAATTCAGTATTTGGAGTGGGTGGTAAAAAATATTATATGTGAGTCAAGAAAATAAAAAGTAAAAGCCGCCACTGATTGTTGTAAATTACTAATAATATAGTATTTGAACGTATTTCAATAGTCCTATATTAATTGTAATGATGTATATTATTAATTTTCTACTTACTAATGACCGATAGACAGTTACCTCCGATTGTAACATGATACTTAAACTACATGTCTACATGTATACTACATGTAGCATACGTCATTCAGTGCTGAATATACAACAATTATGACCAATACCTAGGCCACTTACGATTAGGTAGTAATATTACTGTATTATAATGTAATACTATAAATCGCTATCAGTGTATAATCACTAAGGGCATCTATGACCATTAGGGCGA